TATCATCTGACTATATATCCTACAATACAGTGATGTGCTATTGGGCACTTTGAGTGGCTGTTTGTTATTGGGAAATATGGTATCTAGGAGGCTCTGGACCCATCCGTGGCGAGTATATAAGATATAAATGGGGCAAGTCACAGCTGGTAGGGGAATAAGCCGTCAAGTTGGTGGTCTAGCCGGACCACGTGGATAATCCATAGGTGCGACGTGGGAAGGCCACAAGCTATCTAGGCCCCGTCGGGGCATCGAACAACACTGATGAGGTATACACGATAATTACCTGATCTCAAACCTGATTCTGTAGTGCTCTGTTCCTATATGACGCTTATCCGTCAGAGAACGCCCATCTAGTGTGCAATCGAGGTTGAAGTCGGACAAAGTCTTGGAAAGGCGGTATTCAATATGGCCGGCCATCATTCATGCCCCCCGTTCAAGCTACCTGGTGGAACAGAGTACCATTACATCTCACCTTATACTAATGATTGGGCTTGCGTTCGATCTCTGTGTCAAGTCGAGGACATGGGTGGAGAAGCTTATGCAAAATGTTCCGGCAATGTGTTGTTCGCCGTGTTACTTCGGCACAGTAGACTGGTTATCTACTGACTTTGCAGTAGAATGATGTCTCCCTCAGCTACTCGTTGCATATGGTACGCCGTGCTGTGGGATCTTATATGCGCCTGTCGATTTTCCGGGTCTAAACCCCAGTGTCTAGGGCTTGTGCTGGTGTAGTCGGCACAAAGTTGCTAGCTCGCGCTTTCCGATGCATTCATTCGGCCTATAGGCCATATTAACGGGCCATGTTTGTCTCTCTTGTGATGGATCTCTATGCAGGCTCGGGGCTTCGAGCTACCGTGAAATGATCATTGGGTTGTGCCGTAAGGCATGTCGGCGGTTCAGCAAAAACGACGCCCGTGTTCCGATCCTGTGAATCACGCACGAATCTTCCGCGCATTTCCAGCTGCATTTACTAGTAAGGTTACGCAATATACCAAGTAGCTAAGCATGGCCATGCGTTTCATGTTCCGGGTCTTGTGCTAGGTTGGCATCGAGGTATGCTGGTCGTGGACTTTGCATTATGCCGCGGTGCGTGCTACTAGCCATGGGACAAGCGCGAGGCCGAGACAACATTGTTCTCTTGTGCTAAGAGACAGTCGAGGCAGGTTGTTCTCCCTCTTGTTGTTCGCTCCTGCTCAATTGGGGACTTCGGGCCTGCGGCGCGATTAGGTGACGAATCTTGCTACTGGGCCCAGTTGCTGTTACTCTTTTTGACCAACTTTGTAGGTCGATATACCGGACCATACGCGCTTGAGACTCGCCTTCTCTCCAGCCCCTCCATCTCAGCTGGTACTGGGTTCTTTGCGAGACGCCGGGGTTGCGTTTCTGTCCGCTTCTCCTTGGGCCAGCGTGTACTGCATGCAACCGCTTGGGTCGTGGGATGTTGATTCGTGTGGTAATTGAAATTTTCAACTTATGCAGAGTAAAGTACGCCTCTGGTAGTCTCTTGGTGCCAGAATTGATTTAATCGACAGGATGTTGCTGAATAAATGATTTTTGACATGTTTTGTAATACATGTTGAAGTCGCCCATACTTTTGGACCGTCCAAGGAATAGCATCTTGATCCACAACACATGTCCTCACCGCGACTTATCTGAAGTCAAGTAGACACAAAGCACGAGAGTCCCCCTTGATGGATCAACCCCTTAACGGAGAGGCGGCCCAAAGTGTAGGTTCGGATGACAAGAGCCCTGCCAGCCCTAGAATGACGCATCAGGCTTCATCGGGGACTTATGGGCCACAGGCCCCAGGACGATCAAGATGGTCAACTGACCACAAAGGAGAAGACCCCATGAGAATAAAATAGGCACTGGAAGCATGAGATCATATTCGATATTGTTAAGAATTCAGATAGACGAACTCAATCACATCAGTTAATGGCAAAGTGCGTACCCATTGAGGTAAGAAACCTTTCAAGACAAGAGGGCCAAAATTACTAAGAAGAGACATCATCCTGCACACACAATGGGAAATACGGACAGCGGGACAGCAAGTTGTACGATGCTCTATGTGGATCGTATTGTTGACTTGTTCATCACTGAATGACTTGAATTTGGTATGTGTAAAATCCCCACACCATAGCCCACTTAAATAAGAACATCGAGGGTCAGCAGCCTGGCGCCAACGCACGTTCAACGGCAGCCTGGACAGACGTATATAAGGCCAACATGCATCGAGAACCAGCGCTGTCAGTCGACACCCGCACGGGACGCGGCGCGACGGTAGCAGAAAGACTAGGGCAAACAGCATGCACGGCGGAGAGTCAACAATTACAGTCACAAGCCAAAGACGCGACACGCAGCATCCAGCCGCGCCAATGCAAAAGGGAACTGAGAAAAATTGATCAAAACGTGCCTCGGCGAGGGATTATGTCTCAAGCCAACCAAGCCATCCGTATAGAACCCCATTTCCCGTATGGTACAGTAGAACACCCAAAACCAGCCAAACCCATGATCATTCGTGACAAAACACTCCACTCCCAAAGTCCGCATGGGCCACCGCGTCGTGGGTTGGATCGCGTTATGGCCCAAGAAAGATTCGTAACAGGCATGCAGAAATACGACGCTTAACCACCGAAACCGTACAGGGTGCGACCTTGGCGCTTCAACGCGTAGACAACATCAAGAGAAGTGACAGTCTTGCGCTTGGCGTGCTCAGTGTAGGTGACGGCATCACGAATGACACCCTCGAGGAAGGACTTAAGGACACCACGAGTCTCCTCGTAGATCACTGAAGGAACGACGTGTTAGTCTCTTGCAAGCCGAGGCGAGCGGGGGTTGGAACCTACTGGCAGAAATACGCTTGACACCACCACGACGAGCGAGACGACGGATAGCAGGCTTGGTGATACCCTGAATGTTGTCACGCAAAATCTTGCGGTGACGCTTGGCACCGCCCTTGCCGAGACCCTTTCCGCCCTTGCCGCCTGGTCACCTCAAGTTAGTATACCGGGAAAGATGGAGGAAGTATGCGAGATCGGCACTTACGTCCAGTCATTGTGGATTGTGATAAAATTGAAGTGCTTTAAGGTAGGAGTGATGAGGCTCTTCCGAGAGAATGGCGTGTAAGATTGTTTTGGCAGAGATAACGTGGGGCTGAATAGTAAGAGGAAACACGATTGTAGTCGCGAAGAGGGGGGCGGGCATTTATATCAAATGTCCGTGGGCCAAGTCTGATTCGGGATCAGCCAGAGAAAAGCGGGTACGTCCATCACGCTGGATCACACCCTGTCGCGACGCGAGGTGAAAAATAAAAAAACAACGCCAGGAAGGCACAACCGCACAGGCCACACTGGCTTTCCCGGTACCTCATCAATCTCAGCTGATTCCCAATTGGAGCAGCAGATGGATGGGTACGATTAAATGCAGCCAACCAGAAGGCGTCCCTCGTCTGTCCCTGCTCCCTTCCTCCTCCTCCTCCCACCGTTCATTGCCACCTTGCCTTGAAGTTTACCGTGCCAGACCTCAGGCGCGCCGCGTGCCATCAGCACCGTGTTTCCGGCTTAGGTTCCATCTGCAAAGTACAGACCCCTCCGACTGTTCCACCTGAGCGCAAGGAACCGATCATCTCACTGGCAGTTACCGACGTGGCAGGCAACCACTGCTTTCAAGTTCGATGCTAACACTACTGAAGTTACTGACTGCATCGGTAATCGTTTTACTCATCAGCCGACATCTATAAGCCTCGAAAGCGTGTTTTGACTCGAGTCTCTTGACTGACCGGCCGGTGACGTGATGACGGGCGCTCTCTCATTCGTCGCGCGCTTGAGTCATCTAAGTAGTTCAACATGCCCTAGTTAAATTCAGTGCCGTCTTCAATCCAAGCCGAGGTGTCGCTGCACCCACTGTGTCACTGCCCCATTTACCCATCCCCAGGCTCCAATTTTGGTAGGTATTCGTACATCAGAATGAGCAGGAGACCGGGAAACCGTCTCACTGAACCTCCACATCAGTCGCGTAGGTATTCACGATGCCGCGGCCGCGCAGAGATCGCGTCACGCCTGATACTCTGTAGACCGCACGCGAAAAGCCTGGGAGATGGGCGTGTTCCGGGCAGAGATCACTTGGGTAGGCTCATGGCCTTTCATGTCAACGCCGGGCGGGTAGGTAAAATACATGGATGTATCTCGGAAAACCTTTGTTAATTGTTCTTGCCTACTACGACAAACAGCCTTTGATATTCATTGATGGAACATATGAATAAATGATACCACTCTTAGTATCAACTGGTCTTAATGCTGACGCCTCCACGCGCTCTGCTTCCCAAGTCCTAACGCGTAAAGCGGTCGAGCACTGGAGGTGCTTTACGTAGCTTTTGCCCATCCCGCATTTAGATGGAAATTTCCGCAGACGGGGAACGCTGGGCTGAATCTTGGATGGGCATAGCCTAAAGGTGCCTTAAGGTACTCGGTAAGGTATCCCGCATATGCAGGACCTGTTTTCAGTGCCTTGCCTATGACCACAGTGGGTCTCCGGAGGCATTAGAAGCTGGGTACGTACTCTCCCCTGCCGGGTGTTTGAGAGAAAAAAGATGGGGTGGCGTCAGACTTGATGCAAGATTTCCAGCCAATCAAAAATGAGTCAACTATCCGTTTTGACAACAAAGCGCAAAAAACCCGCCTAAATGCGCCTGCCTTGCAAAGCAATCGCGCCTGCTAAAACGGCATTTTTCCAAAAAAGAACCCACGCCTGCCACGCTCACACCTGGCACTTCCCCTCCACCCGACCATAACCAGGAAGGTGCGCACAGGCCACTTTCCTTTTGGCGCACAATCACTCCCCTCTGCACGCGTTCCGTCTCCCTACCTATTTATTCCCCTCCACCCGTCGCCCACTCCTCATCCTTCTCTTCTACATCCACTCACAACACATCCACAACAACCAACGGGTACATCATCACCAACAAACAAATCCATCAAGTCCATCATCACACAACAGCAGCAATGGCCCGCACCAAGCAGAGTAAGTCGCATTTCCTTTGCGACATCTTCAGTCTACCCTTTGTACTGACTTGACTTTTCACAGCCGCCCGTAAGTCCACTGGTGGCAAGGCTCCTCGCAAGCAGCTCGCCTCCAAGGCCGCCCGCAAGAGCGCCCCCTCCACCGGAGGTGTCAAGAAGCCTCACCGCTACAAGCCTGGTACCGTCGCTCTTCGTGAGATCCGTCGCTACCAGAAGTCCACCGAGCTTCTGATCCGCAAGCTCCCCTTCCAGCGTCTGGTAAGTTGAGAACCACAGCGCGTCACCTCAATCGCATCGGCTAACACTTCTCTCCCAGGTTCGTGAGATCGCCCAGGACTTCAAGTCTGATCTCCGCTTCCAGTCCTCCGCCATCGGCGCCCTTCAGGAGTCCGTCGAGTCTTACCTCGTCTCTCTCTTCGAGGACACCAACCTGTGCGCCATCCACGCCAAGCGTGTCACCATTCAGTCCAAGGACATCCAGCTCGCCCGCCGCCTTCGCGGTGAGCGCAACTAAGCGACTGTCTTTTGATTTTCTCTTTTCACATGGGTGGCTCATGACTCGCGCGTTTGGGAATGCTTGACGAAGGGACCGTCTTGGTTTTGGGGGTAATCTGGCGTTTAACGATGCGTTCTTCAGAATAACGCAAGGGTTGTACATTAAACAAGCAGTAAAGGATGACTGCATGCAATGGCAAACACATTACGAACTACGTTCTCTTGCGCCCCTAATGCGAACGTGAAGCTGCGGCGTCAACCAGCCACACCGCCATCGTAGACCACAGCTCGCGCTCTTTGCCGTGCATGCCCCGCCATAACGCGGTTAGAGTGGCCCGCTAGACTGGCGATAAGACATCTCAAAGGCGCGACGCGTACCAACTGGATGCCTGAACGGCAGGCGCGTTCGCCCTGCGGCAGTGAACGAAAGCTTCATTATTATGATGCTTGTGTTTCTCAAAGGCAAGATGTTGTTTTTAGAGGTGGACAATATTGACTAACAATAGGATGTATGCTGGTGATATTTCTATAAATGTATCCTGTCCTGATTCAGTCATTGTACATGTGTTTTTGCATACTCAAGCACCCCTTATCATTGTTGTCCGAAAGATCGAGCATATATAGATATCTTGATTGCTGTCCCGCCTCTGCCACCTTTGTCGAAGCTGCTTATCGGAGATGTCGCGGGGACGGAAAGGGGAGGGGGGAGAAGCGGTGTACAACGTAGATTACAAGGAAATCGAACCGCTTAGATAGCCATTGGACTTGCAGGACCTTCTTCTTTCCCAGGTCCGATCGCGCCTTAACCAGAGGCAGGCTGCTCTCGCTGATCCAGAGCTGCGGGCTGACAATGCCGTTCGTTGCGTTCCCGGCAGACCACGGCCAGACTGTCTCCGTCCATCGGGGCTGGCCGAGCTGACTTGGGCGGCACGTACCACATCAGAGTCATATCTACAGGCGACAGCTTACTTTCGCAGTGATATGAGAGGCGTTCAAAATTGATGGAGCAAGGTACAGCTCGCAAAAAAAGGTGGGTGAGAAGAATGAGCCTCAAGGATCACATAATATGGAACAAATTCTCGATAGGTACGACCCAAACTGTTTGTCCATGGCAAGACTTGGAGTGCAGTTGATCGTTTGGGTATTCACAAGTAATATCACAGCCACATCAACGACGAGCGAAATTGAGCCAGAACGCATTGACTGTCCGCCATGAGCTACAAGTCCAACACGGAGAAACTCAAGTCTGATTGGTATTCTATTCGTCTGAGACGATCTCTCATTGACTACTGGCGAGATTCTCTAATTTACATGTTTTTCGCAACGGCCCAAAAGTTGTCCATCTTGGCTCGGGCCAACGCGTCCCTGGCCTCGGCATCAGATTCGCAGACCTTGCTTCCCCACTTGCGGTATGCCCTCGCCTTCTCTTCGCCTTCAAACACTAGCTTACACTCATTGTGGGACATGTCTTTCAAATTGCCGCTCTCATTTTCTGCCACCAGCCATTCGCGAACCTGTTGTTGAGACTTCCCTTCTTGCGAATGTGCATTTTCAGTCCAGTCAATCCGCTCGAGCATGAGCTTCTTGTACTTGCGTATACTGTGCTCGCCGCCCTCAACGATGACAAGATTCATCCTTGGGTGCATGATGCAAATCCCCGTGAGAGCATGCTGTTCGGCGTTCTTTTGGATCCTGAATCTATTCCGGCCGTTGGCGAGACTGCCAATCTTGAACACCAAGATATGGATACCCTTTGCAGCATCTTTTTCTTGGTTCGTAGCAAGTTTGATGTGCTTCTCTTCCTTTGTGAGCTTCCGTTCTTCATTGGCCTCCAAGTGATTCTGCTGGCGCTCAGCGATCTGCCTGTTGACAAGGTTTTCCACAGCCGTTGGATCCTTCACTGCAGAGTCTGCGTAAACACGCATCATGTTGCTCTTCTTGACTTTGGGGGGTGGAGCTGGCACTAGCCCAAGTCTGATCTTTGCTTGCTGCTCCTTGAGTTCGGCCATCCTCCTCTGCCTCCTAGTCTTGGCCATTTCTTTCGGCGTCAAGTACATCGGCTTCAGGGCTGGCGTATTCTTCTCCTGCGGCGGTTCCAGCGCGACGGGGTGCTGTACATATTCCGTGATGATGGTGTCTTCTTTGATCTTGAGTTTGGATTCGTCGTCGATACAGTCGTAAGAGGGCCCGTCGACCAATCCACCGTCGAACCATTCTATGTCTGGAGGAGGGTCGACAACAAGGTTCTTCTCCATCTCCAATTCATCTTCGATGCCAGCTTTCCTCGTTTGAGCCGCGATTCTCTTCTTCATCTCCTCGAGAGCAGCTTGTCGCCGCAGCGCCGCGGCTTGCTGGATGAACTTGCCCTTGGCATGGAAGTTCAGCGACCGAGCCTGACGTTGTCTTCCACCTGCGGGCTGTGCTGCCTGCTGGTCGTTGAAATACGGGTTGGCCAGCGGCGCATCGCGGCCTCGCCCGACAGCATCTGGGGCTTTGAATCCAGTCGAGAACTTTGAGTCAGAGTGCGGTCGACTGCCGGATGACTTTCCATCGTTAGGTCTAGCTGGCGCCTTTGTCTGGCCGAGACTCTCGAGGACTGGATGTAGTCCGACGTTAAGGCCTCCTTTAGCCTTGGAGACGCCGACTGCCGCGGCGACTCTTGCTTTGAGCGCGGCCATCTTATCGGCAGCCGATTCAGGTTTCGAAACCCGGGAGTTGGGGTCATGACGAGGCCCAAGGCCTGCCGAGTCTGATTGTCGATCCATTGCGACGAGGCTAATATGCTGCCACCTTTCTACACGACTGAGGATAGGAGCCAAATTGTGGAATGCACGTCTTTCCGAAGGTACAGGTGCTTCGTCGGGAGGATGTCTAAGCCTGGACGCTCTCTCGCTGGGCCGATCGTCTTCGCGGGGTTCGCTGGTTGTGTATCGCAGTCGGAAGGGTAAATCATTCGCAGAGACCCCAAAGCAACAACCATGGGCGGTAGAGGTCCGTAAAGAGGATTCGGTGGTGGCCCCGTTGCACGGTTGATGGGGCTCACTTGTGGTTGAGGAATAGGAAATGTCTCTTGAGAGCTGAAGGGAAACGTCCCTATTATGGGCTCGAACAGGCAAGGTGGCTGTTGGTTGTAGGCTCTGGTCAAGTGGGTGGCTACGTAAACGTTCGTAGTGCCCGTCGTGAGGTAAACACAGGCACAGAGGCTAGGTACCTAATAAAGCAGCACGCAGACAGGGGAGTGAACACTGTGCAAGGTAAGGTACCTTAGCTTGATCGCAACCTGGAAGGTCCCGTCTCTTCGTCTGGGAATGCCTTGGTGCCTTGCGCCGATAGCACAGTGGCAGACAAAAAAAAAGTGCAGGACCCACCAGATAAGGCGGGTCTTCGTTCTGCCGACCACCACCGCCAAAAAAAAAAAGTTCCCCTCGGTCTCCCACCGACGATTGCTGCTCTGGACCATCCGCCCCGGTCGTATTGAATTTGCGATCGAGCGAGTGCCTCTTTGAAGCGGAAGCTGTATGGAAAATTTGCTTCGGACACCACTCCTTCTGCCGTTCCGACTCAGATTGGTGCCAGGCTATTACCTGACGCCTCAACGGCAATATGAACATCTCTCAACCCATTTCGTCGTCCGTTGAGACGGTCGAGTTCACATTCCTCACCGAGGAAGAAATCAGAGCAATCTCGGTCAAGCGCATTGAGAACGACAGCACATTCGACAATCTTCTGAACCCCGTTCCTGGTGGTCTCTATGATCCTGCTCTTGGGTCATGGGGCGATGCCCTGTATGAAATGCCCAGATTATCCCTTTTCCTTTGCTCAATTGACTTACACGTCTCTTCACAGCTGTGCAACCTGTAACTTGAATCAGTCTTCATGCCCGGGCCACGCCGGCCACATCGAGCTCCCCGTGCCGGTATATCACCCTGTATTTCTCGACCAGGTTCTCCGTCTTCTGAGATCGCAATGCGTCTACTGCAAAGGTTTCCGCATGCGCCATCGCGAAATCAATCGATACTCTTGCAAACTTCGACTGCTGCAATATGGCCTTTTGCACGAGGCTCACTTGGTTGATGCCATTGGAGAAGAGCTCAAGGGCCTCGCACTCCCGGGTGTGCCTACCGATTACGAGAGCGAGGCCGAAGAAGAGGGCACCTCCACGGTCGACAACATTATCGGGGCCCGGGAGGCATACGTCCACCAATCTCTCAAATCACACAAGCTCAATCTGGGCGAGGTCAGGAAGGGCAAGCACGAAGGTGCTATCGAAATGCGGAGAGAGCTCATCAAGGACTTTCTGACACAAATTACCAAGTCCAAACGATGCGACAACTGTGGTGGTATCTCGCCTACCTACCGAAAGGACCGCTTCGTCAAGATATTCGAAAAGGCCCTTAACGAGAAGGATATGGGTCAAATGGCGCAGAAAAACCTACACCTCAAGGACTCCATGGCGACAGCAGCTCACCAGCGCAAGTCGAAGCGCGGCAACACCGACACCGACGAAGGGGTTGCCGACGTTGATACAAACTCATCGAGCGAGGAAAACGATGTTGACATGCGTGATGCTAATGACGATGACCTCGAGATGGAGGAGGCAGAGTCCAGAGTTGATGCTGTTCGTCAAAGCCCCGGGCAACAGCGATACCTTAGCGCAATGGAAGTTCGCGCACGTCTGCGGGAGTTGTTTGACAAGGAACAAGACATTATGTCCCTCGTCTACAATTCGAAGCCAGTGACCAAGAAGGCAGCCAAGGTTTCTGCCGACATGTTCTTTATCCGAAGTATCCTTGTTCCCCCTAACAAGTTCCGACCCGAAGCTCGAACTGGCGATTCTCAGATTTCTGAGGCACAGCAGAATTCTCTCTACAAGATGATCATGCGGAACTGCGGTAGCATTGCGAGAATATACCAAAGCGTGGGTGGCACAGACCAGTACGGAAGAGCAAGAGACATCAACGATTTGCACCAAGTATGGACGGAATTGCAAGAGTCCGTCAACTCTCTGATCGACAAGAG